GCTCATAAAGGTAGAATATTTCTTGTATAATTTCGTTTCGGATAATTTTTTTTTATAATTTGCTGCTTCGAAATGTGTGCAAATATACAAATGGAACGATTTACCACCTATGAAATGATATGCAGTCAACAACAATAAAGAATATTGAAATATGCATTGATTAAAAAAACTTACGATGTTTTTTTTTTTCAAATTACTAAACGTTGTTACATTTTCTTTCTCGCTGATCTTCCACGTGTACGTGTGTACCATAGGAAATATTCTATAAATTAAGCCCCTGTTTAGAAATTCAAATTTTCAGTGGTAGGCATTTCAAATTTACAATTTAAAATAATCAAATGTACAGTAACTAGCATTTCAAAGTTACAATGGTCAGCACTCAGGTAGTATGTGGTATATAAAGAACGGAATAGGGCAGGCTAACACGGCATTCTATCAAACGAAGAACATTTTGTGCAATAATTCTATGTTACTGGAGGTTAGAGCATGGCTGTGAATCATGGACAATTAAAAAACGAGCTAAACAATTTCTTGAAGCCTCGGAAATGTGATTTTATAGAAGAATCTTAGATTTTCCTAGACGATCAAAAAAGCAACACACGTGTTTCGAAAGAGGCGATGGCTCGAAGGCAACTTATCAAAAAACATCAGAAAGTTACAAAATCATCATTCTTCGGCCATGATATGAGGAGAAGGAGACTAGAACACGTTGTAGTCACTGGAAAGATCCGTCGACAAAGAAACTGGGGAATACAACGCTAGAATATTCTTGGCAACCTTTTGTAATTGACAGCACACGAACTCACACACGCGGCTGATGATCGCAGATTGTAGAAAGTCATGATTCCTCACGCCAGTCGGCCAGACACTAAATGATGATGAAATGATACGAATGTTTGATCACAAACAGCATCATGGAGATTAAATAACTTTTTTTTGGCCACACTATACATTATTTAGAAAGAACAGTAATGGAAGACATAGATCATGGGGGTTTAGGGGGGGGGGGGGGTCAATTACAGGCAAGCCCATACATAAACACACATGAAAAAACTTTACAAAAAAAAGCAAGTTTTTGCTCCAGTACTAGATGGTACATTGTATAAATATCACTACAAACAAGTACTTTGTGACATTTACTCTGTAATATACAGTACTGTTATTATTGTACCACAAAAAAGTATTCAGCTGTGAAAAGATACAAAAACGGTATTTAAAAACAAACGTGACCACTGTGTTCAGCCCTGTTTACCGGTCCCGCTTCAGGAAGCTGTACAGCTATTGTGACAGACGAAGCTTGGCATAAATTACTTGAGCCTCTCTCTCTCTCTCTCTCTCTCTCTCTCTCTCTCTCTCTCTCTCTCTCTCTCTCTCTCTCTCTCTCTCTCTCTCTCTCACTCCCTTTCTCTTCTCCGTCTCTCTCTCTCTCTTCCGCCTCTCTCTCTCTCTCTCTCTCTCTCTCTCTCTCTCTCTCTCTCTCTCTCTCTCTCTCGGTCGCAAATGTAAATTACTTAACAAGTGGAACGATATATATCTGCAGGTGAAAAATAAAGCGTTTCTTCTTCCTTACTACGAGTTTGTTATGATAAGGGCCTGCCTTGTGGCGGTATTAAGGACACGTTTTGTGTCCTCTAAATTCCGCCAAACTTCTAGCACAATCCTATTGCGTTAACAGTAGAAGCAAAAAGAAGAAATCGAACTGGCGTTATTTTGCTGCCCTTTGTCTAAGCCAAAATTTTTTAAAAAAAGGCACACACAAAAAAGGGCACAATCAGCTCACTCACATACACATGTATAATGCACACCAAAAAAAAAAAAAAAATAGCACAAAAAGATGTTAAATATGGGACCCTGAGAGAGCCCATGTGGTGGAGCTCAGTGGCAGACTTGTTGACTGCGGCGTGGTGTGCCGGGAGACAGCCTAGACACATCAGGGACAGTGTGCCTAGCAAACAGCAAAAACCTCAGAAACAAGATCAGTAACAGAGGGCAGATCCAAAACAGAACTCATCAAGAGCAACTTCACGCTGACAGAAAGGAAAGGCCCACAAAGGAACATTGGAATTGGAATTTAAGGCGCAACCAAACGCCACAAAGAACAAATACGACCAAGAATCAGCAAATAAACACGGACTCGATATAGTCGCCGCTCAACTAAGGAGCAGATTGAAGGAGTCAAGGAGTTTTAGTATTTTTGTTTCCAAACATCCATCCATCCTAAGCGGATTTCTCATAAGCTAAAAATTTGAATTTTTATAACATATGATTAAACAAATAAAGTGCTTTTTATATTTGCAGTTGTTTCTGTCTTTGCTGTCGGTCAGGCCGTGAATATTTCTCCTATTTTCCTAGTAGAAAGTGTAAAATATGAAAAGAGCAATGTCTTGAAGTCTAAAGCACTTAGGAGAATGACAATTGTCCCCATAGCTACAGCTCGATAACAGTAAAGTCTTAACTGTACTATGCTGCGGTAGAGGACGAGTGTGAGAATGGCAATGGAACTTGGGAACAGAGGACAGTATATATCCATCCGTTTCATCGGTGTAACTCAGCAATGAACCTCTACAATAACATTCAATTATTACATTCTTTTTTTTTTTAAAATCAAGAAATTAAATCAAATTTAACTGAAAGTGCCAATCTTTCGAAACTCATTTAGCATAAAATACAATACTGCATTGGTTCAAAAACAAGCTTGTGTAATGAGGTAAGAATACATGTAGCTTAAAGCACAGATCAAATGTAACAGAATCTGCTACAAACCAGACAATTTATGAGGGGGCCAGAAACAGGCTTTCAACCAGAACATGCGAAACAATAAAACCCAGAATTTTAACTACGGAAAAAATTCAATCAAATACAAAACATTTTTTAATAACATCATAAAATGTATACAAAACAATACATGTTAAAAATATAAACCCAGGATTACACGAGTCATATTCACATGAATAAATTAGTAGCGGCAATCCACACAAGAAAATTGCCGTGTTATATCTAGAACCCATTTATATACACCATCTTGTCTGCGCTATCATTAGTTTAAAAAAAAACAATGATAAACGATGTAGGTAGAAATGTAAGGCACTTTTACAACGAGTATTTTCTTGGACGCGTATTTCAACAAATTCTTTCAAATGTAGTTGTAAAAAAGCAATCATCTGCAAGATAATAAGTATGAAATATAACATGAGGGCGAGATATAATGGACAGATGAACAGACCTTCACACAACTATAGACTGTGTCGGTTGAACACATGCGTTACAAAAATACCAAACAGAATAATTGAAAAATACATTCACTTCGTTGTACTGACTTACATATAGAAATATATAATCACAGTTGAGCAATGCTAAATAATTTCAATGATGTCCTTGACCGTCATGCCACGACCAGTAAACAAATCCATTTGTTGTTTGTGTTATCAACAATTTCTGCTCCAGCGACTGTAATTCTCAGACAGTACTGGTTGTTCAAAGTCATCAAGTATTTATCTTCCTGTGTGAGTGTTTCAGTGTTTTAAATATGGCTGTAGATGAAATGTGTTAAATTCCAAAGTCAAAGGCCCAGACTGATGACATATCATGATACTCATGTGGTACTTGTCTAGCCAAATATCTAGAATCATTGGTTCCAGAGCGAGAAAACGTCGTATGAAAGTTGTGAATTCTAATATAACTTCTTCTTTTGTCAAAATCTGCTTGTGCCGCTAGGCGTCGCAGTCTATCAGATGATCGGCAACCGAGCCAGGGCGCGCTCAGTAGCTTCATATGCCGTGATGTTATGAAGTCTCAAGTTGTCCGTGACTCCTTCAATCCATCTTCTTCTTGGTCTTCCCCTGCCTCTTGTTGTTTCGATTTTCATGTTGTATGCTCTTGATGCTGGCATCGTTGGTTCCATTCTCATAAGGTGACCAAACCATTTCATTCTTTGCTTCTCAATAAATTTAACGATGGGTATGGTTCCAATAGTTCTTGTAATCACATCGTTTCTCACTCGATCTCTTCTGGTTTTATTCGCAGCCATTCTCAAACATCTCATTTCACAGGTGGTTAGTCTTCTCTCATGTTCTTTTGTTAATGTCCAAGTCTGACATTGATAACCTAATGTCGGTATAAAGATTGTATTTATAATTTGTCTTTTTATCTCAGCTGGGACAGCAGGGTGTTTTAAAATTGGGGCAAGCTGGTATGCGACATTGTTGGCTTGTTGGATTCTTGCTTCAATCTCTCTGTCTATTTTACCATTGGATGTAAAGATACTTCCCAGGTATTTAAATTCTTGCACTTGTTTTAGGCTGTGATCTAGAATCTTTATGTCGATGGTCTGTTGCTCTCTACTTATGCTCATGACTTCTGTCTTTTCAATATTGATCTTCATATGATGCTTGAGGCAACTGTCGTGTAGTAGGTTCATGTGGTCTTGCAGCTGTTTACTATCACTGTGAAATATGCATTGATCGTCGGCAAAGAGCAGCTCATTGAAGTCCTCCTGTTTATCGACATCTGTTGGTGTTATGTCTATTTTATTAATATTGTCCATAAATATTATGAAAAGTAAAGGTGATAATACACAACCTTGTCTTACTCCTGATGTTACTGGGAACCAGTCTGTCTAATATAACAAAAAAAACAAAAACAAAAATGCAACGCTCTTAATAAGAGTCTTATCCATCTTAGTCTGGTCTGTCTTATGACTTCAATTTTACTTTAATTGTAGATGAGTAATTTCTTCTTCTTCTTCTTCTTCTTCTTCTTCTTCTTCTTCTTCTTCTTCTTCTTCTTCTTCTTCTTCTTCTTCTTCTTCTTCTTCTTCTTCTAGTCCATGCAATGTGGCGTTGGTCAACATGCCTCATGATCATGACTCATGTACGACCACTCATTTCTAATACAGGGTAATAACAATTATCTGTAAAGGTGTCTATGTTTAAATCATAGTCTGGTTAAGGTCATCATTTAAATTTCACTCAGTCTCTTTAACATGCTTATATATTTCATACTCATTGTTTTATCATTTCAGCAACGGACGGAATAGGTGGACCGAAATAAAAAGCGTCAATATGTTCCTTGCTTGGTCGCAGAAGTTGTGGGTCCCATCTATTGAGTTCTTTATTTAGAATCAAATCTGTCTTCTCATTTTTCTTGTTCCTACAACAAAGGAATATAGCCACAGCTGTAACTAGTATAACCAAAAGTCCGGCTGATGCCACACCGATAGCCAGTGGAATCACGGTATTAAACAATGCAGAAACCGCTTCGACAGAGGCTTCGTGAGACTGGGATGTTGTAGTATTCTGGGCCTGAAGCGTGGTGGAAATATGTTGATTCAATTTTTTCATTTCTCTCAGGAACTGGTCAATGTCTTCTCTGGTCATTTGTTCGTTGTCAACGGGAACTACAGAGACGTCCCTTTCCACGACAACATTTTCCATCTGGTTGTCAGCAGGGAGGCAGACGACAGTCATAATCGTCATGACAAAGACCTGAAAAGACCAACATTGTTTTATGTCTGAGAATAAACGTGTGCATGCATTCATAAACAAAGAAATAGATGTAAGCATGGTGTTGTGCCTGTATTATTACTTGTACCCGACACCTATATGTAACAATGGATTTCAGTTTCAGGATTACCGAAATGTTAACTCACCTCTGAATTTGGATTACACAACATGAAAAATCTCGAATCCTGCATTGACATGTGATACACACAAGGAAATCCCTCGTGCCAGCTGCAGTAGGTGGATACCGCCTAATAATAACACCACAGAAACTGACACATGTAAGACTCTAATAAGCTTCTGTGCGTGCTATTCTGTCGCTTGTTTCTCTCCTTTGCTGAACTACACAAGCGCTCGATGCATTGCGAGTGCGCATCTGTGCTAGAGTCGACAAAATTGATGGAGTGATTGACAGTGAGATGCGTCAAACCAGGAATATTCTCAATTCCATTGTACGCACTCCACAGGTCGGATACTACTGTCGTGCCAGGTCTTATGTTTGTGCTAATGATCGGCAGAAGCATCTCTGCTTTTCTCTCTGGAACACAGAACATTAAGCATTTCCCGGATTCGCGACAGACGAAACCTAATACTCACTATTGTGGAAACACTCGTCCTAGATGATTTTTCCTCCTTGCAAACAGACTTTCAATTCCAACAGTGGTGTTCTCTCCGCTGATCACTGCAGCAGGCACCGATGCTGCTAATTCGAGAAGATTCATGGCGATGAAGCCTGAACACCCAAGTCGCTGCAGAGATGAGATGCAAGAAACGCGCCAAAACCTTGGCAACGCCTTAGAAGACATAAAGGCACTCACCGCTGAAACCCTATACCCTGTACCTTGGGAGAAAGTCAGTGATACAATACAGAATGTGACTTCAGTCAATGGATTCACAACTGGAGATGAGTCCAATGACCTTCAAAAACGAACAGCTGCTCTTAGCGTGATTCAGGAAAACTATCCCGAACAGACGTGGATAATGTTTACACGGATGTATCAGCAACCAGTGGGGTTAAAAATGGGGGTTCTGGCGTCTTTATTGCATAACCAGGCAACCACCGCCACACAAAGTGTATACCCACTGGTAAATTCTGTTCCAACTATACAGCAGAGATCGTAGCACTAGAGCAGGCTGCCGAAATGTTACACAACACCAGTTCTGACTGCCACCAAGTGGACATGTTCACAGATGCGCTATCGGTGCTTCAAGCGCTCAAGAGCTGCAAACTCCCTCACTTGAGATCTGAACTTGGCAAGGTGGCTGCCCAAAAGCGTATTGTACCATCCCACTCTGGTATACCAGGATACGAAACCGCAAATAACCTTGCTAACAAAGGGGCAGAATGTGACCAGGAAGAGAAAGGAGTAACATACTAAGAGAAGAAAAGGGCCATCCAGGCTATCAGATGTAAACAGAGTCTGGCCAGAGATGAATACCGCTTACTTAACTGGCATTTGCAAGTCACTATCCTACGTCTCAGGACAGGACATAACAAACTTAACCATCATATGCTGGTCTAAGTAGTTCACTTTTGTGCCCTTGTGGGCTAAGTGTGCAGACTACAGAGCATGTCCTGCAATAATGTCTCTTGTTCAGCCCATTAAGAAGGAAATACTGGCCCGGTGAGTCAGCACTGCGCGCAAGCTGTATGGGACTAAAGAGGAACTCATAAAAACAATAAAGTTTACCACAAGAACCTGTATGTCGGTGTAAATCAGAAAGTTATCACAAAAAGAAGAAGAAGAACCACCCTCGAAAATACTGGACTGTCCCGTGACCTCATCTGTGGTGAATTATTGGAATTGTACCAAAATTTGTAAAGGGCCTTAAATCCCCCACCCCACCCCCCCCCCTTTTTCCCCTCTGAGCCCCTGAATGTTTTCTTTGTATTAGCCGCCCTGCACAAAATAAGTGAATAAAAGCATGATTTGATGTAGTGAGGGCACCGTCTACCTACTGCCAGATACTGAAAGAGGCTTATACATAGACTGGCACCTTTCTGTCCTACCAGACGATAGTGTTATATGGCGCTATGCGGTGGCATAGGGCTCACAGCCCATGGCGATGGCGAGTGTGCTTAGCAAGACCCGCTTGTATGATGAGGAGATAATAAAAGATAGGTGAGATTTCTAGTTAAGGTAATTGAGACAAAGCAAAGGGAGCAGCGGTATGGCAGTGATTAGACTCTTGCCTGCCAGGCCGACGGTTATGGGTTTGAATCTGCACGGGGGCCGATTTATAACAACTGACCAGGGCTGCCATGTCGACCCGGGCAAAGGTGGGCACCAGGAAATGTGAAAGGAAGTAAAAGTTGCCGATCTGATGCTGACCACATCGTCCACTGGTGTATACAGTTTGGGTCTTGTCTAGCACCGAAACTCCAGGCCGTGAAAATGGTTCCTGGATTTTTTTCTTTTTTTAATTTAAAAAGAAAGACTTTATATGGGGGTTGGGAAAAAAAGGGGAGGGGTAATTGAGATCTAAAGAGAAAAAAAAGTCTTCATAAAACAATAACACAAGGACCCTATTTTCGGCCTTAAACGTATTGGGCTAGACCTATATTTATAGACCACTTGATGGGTGTGTGGTCAGCATCAAACTCCCGCTTTTACTTTTCATGACGTTATGTGGCATCCAATTTAGGCTCGGTCGACCCGGGAGCCAATGTCACTCGGTGCGGACTTGAACCTAGGACCTTCAAGTGAGCTGGAGAGCGTCTACACCACAGCGGAGTCTTCTTCTTCTGCTGCTGCTGCTGCTGCGTTCATCCAAAGAGGTAATTGCATTGTGTCTGTTTACAGCAAAGCTGCGATATTTGTGCCTTTCGGCCAACACATTCGACTTATGCATGTGTTGACCGGGTTAGCCTCCCCGGGCAGCGGCGTCAAATATAATTAAAGTTTATAAAAAAAATTAATGATGCATAATATAATACCATAAACTTAACTGTCACTTCACTTTGACTGACTTTCTACCCCACCAGGACATCACACAAGCGATAAACACCCGATGACACAAAGTGCCACCATGCGGATGAGGATCACCGTGGAGAGGTCCCAGAAACCGCGTTCAGCAAATTGGCCATATTGATGGCCTGCCTATATTGCGGCCCCTGGCAAAAGCCAGAGTGGGTCTTCAAATAACAAAAAATTACGTCCTAAGAAGGACGTAAGGAATATAATAATATTTGTCTTTAATAATTAAATGTACACTTACCAGAACATAATGAACCGAAAATTTCAATAAGGCCTTCATTTTTTTGTTACCCAGTAGCAAATATATATATATTTTTTTTTCTCCAAGGAAGTCAGAAACATGCACAATGCTATGAGATCTGCAGGTTGTATTTTTTTGTCTCAGACGGACGTCCTTTCTATTGCGTTCTATCTTGTTTACGATGGAGCAACGGTTCACTCCTCTATCTTTAATACTGTTTACGTCGTGTTCCCATTGGTTGGACTGTTTGTGACGTTCCGAAACACTTTAGAGAATTTCCCCACTAACCTAAATTTGCTATCTCGAACCTCTATTGTGGCGACACAAACCTTCACACCGTAGCTAATATTAGCCGATTTCCCGTTAGTGCTGTGGGCACGAGGGATTTCCCTTCTAAGTGTTGAATGTCAAAACAGGATTCAGGATTTGCTGGTTTTATTGTCCGAAACCAGAGGTGAGTTTACATTTCGGTAATCCTGAAACTGAAATCCGATGTTAACTATAGGTATCCGGAATAGGTAAATTATAGGTATTAGCAAAATGAATGATATCACCGATTCCCGAAATATTGTATAATTTTTATCTTATATCGAAAGAATGAATGGTTGAAGAACTATCACTGCACTTGGGACATTCCCGCAGGTGCTCCGTTCCCTTCCTCATTAGCCAACGAAAGGAACCCGTGCTGACTGAACTAGCTGCAACCTGACTGAAAGTTTGCCCATGTTTTACCCTAAGCGCACCGAATTAAAAACGAAAATAAAGAAGTATAATATAGCAGGCGCGCCACCACGTAAAAATAAACATTGGATGGATCATCACCCCGACCCCACTGTAAATTTTTTTAGACAAATGAGGGTTGAATGGCTTCACGTTCAGCACATTATTATTATTATTATTATTATTATTATTATTATTATTATTATTATTATTATTATTATTATTATTATTATTATTATGATTATTATTATTATTATCACTGTGCTGAAAGGCAAATAAATATACCACGTTTGAGATAATATAAAACGTTTGGTTAGTTCGACGTAAGTCTCCCCAAAAAAGAGTAGGTCACTTTTCATTCACAAGTTTGTTGAGCTGGTCGACTTTTCAGAAGGTTATGGGTGTGTCCCGCTCTGTTATTTGGCTTCTGCAATGTCTCGCATTTGCGTTTTCATTCCGAGAAAGAGAATTTCTGTGACATAGCTTGCAGCCGTCTCTAGGGGGTTTGTGTTAGACCCAGTTTCTCCATGTTTTTAGGGTGTTAAAAGCGCTGGCGTGCTGAAATATACAATACGCGATATAGACGGCATTGCGGAACACTCCCGTAACCGTATGCGAAGTCACTGGGCTCAGGAACTATCAATTAGAAGTGATTGGTCTTCCGGTTCCGACACTGACAGGAAATGGATGATGGTTGAGAACTTGGCTTATGTTGACCATTCTCGTCGCCGTTTCTCCTCCAATTTCGATGTTGCAAGAATGTGGAAGTCCGGTTTGCACCCGGAGCTTCTGAGTTTATTGCTCCTGGAGGCACTATGAGCTGTGATTATCGGTTATTGTCTGAGCTCCAGATTCGTACTTAATGGCAATGATGGGTGATGTATTTTTCTTTGTTGTATTCCTGGGACAAGGCGTGTGCTATATTTGCTATTTATTAGTTGGCCGTGGCTGCAACTTAGCCGAGGACATGTGGAGAATGATCAGGAATAGCTTTAGTCTACTCATCGCCCAGCTATTCGTCGAATGAAGTTGATTTTCAGTGATGA